TATTGTATGGTTACAACAGATTAAGTTTCATCATTCAGAACTGGAACTTTATATACTACAACGATGTCTTAATCTGACTTACACACTTCATTCAGTAAACAGTTGCCATTGAAATATAAAAGTCATCAAGAATTGTAATACAAAGATTTATTAGGAGGTTTGATAGTATTGACCAATTTATGTATTATTCATATCCCAATACAGTAATTTGAATTCATTGGAATACTACTTTTAGTCTTATATAGATCGAGTCAAGACTGTGTTTGCTATATGAATGCAAATGTGTTTCAATGTTTCTGGTTAATGAATCAAAGAAAGTTAAGTTATGGATATATCAGATGTTTTGTTCTTGTCAAAGGGAATGTATTCTTAGTATTATACTCTTTATCTAAAATGAAGTCCGCCGTCCTTAGATACGAAATTCCTTTTCGATATCTGCTATCATATCACCGCAAAACTATTGATATTGGTAAATGTTGGATACATGTATATATAACAAGAGACAATATATGTAACTACGTAGGCCGGAGGAAAAAATCGTTTTTCATGGTTTAGAGTAAACCTTATCGAAGGTTTTGAAAATCGAGCAAAATAATATTTACACAGGATCTTGTTGAATAGGACAACCGTAAATTTTTGTCTTCTCCGGCCTACGCCTACACCTTTCTTTTTATTTTATACATGTACCCGACGTACTTGTATATTTTAAGACACGATATGTTTTGTTAACATGGTTAGTTATATGTGTCACACGTCGATACCGGTAATAATTTCGTATTGGCTAAAGATAACGATAACATCACGTAAGCAAGTCATAATAAACTTTGAACTTTCACGTTATACTTATTACAAGGGCTGGGAACCCAAAATACATGTAAACTATGACAAATTGTAAATTTTAATGTACTTGTCAATACGTCAAGATTGATAAAATATAATATATTTCGGATCTAGCAGCACATTTAGGTAAATAAAATTGTTTTAGGTAAATAAAATTGATCTTTAATACACCAGTTGATACAATTATTTTACTTGTTAACATATCTTAATTTTCTGATTTAACGGGCTTAATCTTATTTCGCCAATGTTTTTCTGCTTGGTCTTAAAAAATTAATTACTAATGTTGTGTACGGGAAACCGTGTTGTGTTTGAATAATAATTGTTTAACAATCAATCTCAAGGGTTCAACTGAAGTTTTTACAAACAAAATTTATGTAACCGTTACTTCCTTACGATTTATGTCCAACAACGAAAAGCGTAGACAGTTCAGACTTATTAAGTTGGAATATGAATAGTCTCTTGCAATTGAAACAAAAGGCGGACATCCGCTGCTTATTTTTGTACTTGTCAGTCATTCACATCTTTTTTATTATTAATCATTTTAGAATAATTTACTCATGACAAATCATATTGTTTATGTTCTTTGTCTAATGACAATAAACATAATTAAGCTAAAAAAATGCTATTTAACATCTCCGTGAGCAGAAACGAAATAAATTGACACTAGAAAAGTAAATTGCTTCATACGAAACAAAAATAGAATACATTCCTCAATGAATCTAATGTGTATGCAACATCTTGTTGTAATAATATTGAAAAATATTTAAAGGAAAGCTTGAAAAGAAAATTGGTATTCTACTATGTTTGTTTGAATTAATGTGAGATTTTAAGTGTCCTTTAAACCATTTACTTCAGGTACTATATTTTACTCAGTGATGTGAATTTACCTTTTCACCTCTAAACAAGGAAGTATTACTCATCATATAAATGTATATTAACCTGGTAAGTTAATCATCAAATATTTCTGTTTTTGTCATTGAAATGTATGACTGATTTTTATGAAAGGAAAAAGCGCATATTTAGTGATTGCAACGATATTAACATCGACAAATACATTGTGAAATGTATTAAAATTTGCTTCGGAAGGAAGAATAAATTCAAACTATCAGTAAAACCTTTATACATTTCATTTATTTATCCATAATCTAGTTAGTAAACAAATGAATTACGGACACTAAAAAGGATAAAATACAACTGATTCATACAAAAGACATATAAGATAAACACAAGCCATAGGTACATGTACAACTACCGCTGTTTATTTAGAGATAACAAAGGTTAAACTTTTCTAACATTTTAATGTTAAATAAACTTCTATTTCGAAATATTTACATTGGCTTTACTTCCTTTTTCAAGTATTTGAAGTATATGTTAACATGTATAAGGAGATGTACTAGATGTATTTTATCTTTATTCAGGTTCACTGCAAGTTGTAGACTATATTAAGGGTGATGGCGGACACAAGAGTATCAGGAGATATAAGTAAAACATATATTATTATTAGATTATTAATTATAATTATAGTTACGTTGATTCGATATAAAATTCATATATATATATATATATATATATATATATATATATATATATATATATATATATATATATATATATATATATATATATATATATATATATATATATATATATATATATATATATATATATCACAATGCAATACAAGAGTTAATGACCCGGACATGTCTATGTTACATTTTACATCCATGTTTATTCACAAGTTATTAAAAATAATAAGAAACTTGTTATCTAAAGTATTACAGCTTCATGCCTTCAGATGAGCCAAATAATTTCAATAAAATCTTTTTTGGAGAAACGTGTACTATGATATTTTAGAAAAGTAAAAATATGCGCGTTTACATGTTATGTGCGATTTATGACTTTACATGTTATGTGCAATTTATGACTTATTAAAAAAAATATCACCATAGTTCTACTGCAAGACTATGCAGCAAGGGCTATTTTTGCATATTTTGCTCTTGAATCGGTAATTTACGTGGATAGAAGGTGGCGGTTGCAATTTGTAAATAATATTCTTCTTTATCTGGACATTTTTTTTACTTTTAAGTCCATTGTCAAAATTTTCATAATAAAATTAGCATGAATCTCGAGGCATGCTGCTCTAAAATGATGATAATTTGGTATTATTTGATGGCTATGACTTCCATCGTTAGGAGCAATGTTAACTGAGAAAATAGCCAATAAAGTTTGTCAATAAGTATGAGTTTCCAAACATACCTTGTCTAATATCGTGGCTTTATTGTTAAATTTATGATATATTTTAATCAATGCATTTCGTTACACAAATCAGTATAATTTATACTTTAACATGTTTGTATGTGTACATATCTATGGGTTTATATATTTCATACCAGGTGTTGATGTGATGATAAATAATTTTATTTGCAAACATACCGGTTTCTTATCAACAGAAGGGAAAGGAATGCTAGTCTGGAGAAAATGTAAGATAAACAATATAACTCCTTGTCTCTCATATATTACCATATAAGACAATTTAGAATTCAATTAGTTTTTGACAAATTATCATAGAAATGGAATATAGAAACATTTACTTAAATTTACGGTATAATAACCAAATTATTAACTGTGAACAACTCCAACTCCCGAACATGACACGCATTATACTTATTTTCTTTCATTTAATTTCATCTTTTGCTTGGATATCTAATTTTCCATACCATATAAAATTATATGGCGTAACCGTATATAATTAATTATGTAATCAGAGTAACTCTTATGTTTTAATGGCACATTGTCAGCTAAAGAACATGTTATTAAGATATCTAAACACTGATAGGGTATTAGCCAAAATTATTTAAAATCAAACTTCACTGTGTTTGACAGGGATTTTGAAATATTTCATCATCTCAAGAGGAGCAAAAGAAGGTTGTGTATGGAACTTCCATTGCTTTGATAATGATTTGGCAAGTAAGCAAGAGTGGTCGATGTCGATGAGAGAAGTAGAAAGGTAACAAATCGAAGTCTATGGCTTATTACCATTTTTATAATTTTTATAACACATGGCGTTTTTTTATATATACTTATATTTTATTTATTTAGATAATCAAACAGTTTGAAATGATAACACATATTTGACAGTCACATGCTATTTTTTGATGAGGTAATTGATGGATGGCAGTCGTAATTAATGTCAACCCCTCTAAAGCATGACCTTATAATATATTACTGTTTATTTATTATAAATGTTTATTGCTCACTTAAAATCTTATACGGACTTGTGTATGTAAACAAATTTTATGCAAGACAAGAGCTTGTCATCTACCTTATCCAAAATATTGTGTATGTGACCATACGATTACCTTTTTATGCCAAATATCTATGAGCTTCGTTATAAAGATATGAGAAGAAAGATTAAATTAAGTTAAAAACAAAAGTCAATATAACCCGGAGCTGGTTCTGAATTGTCATGATTTGAGGAAGCTTAACCTTTTCCCTCATATAGACGTGTTTTGATGGCTTTTTGTCCCTACCCCTTTTGAGGCCTCAAACAGTGAAACATGCCCTATTTAGGCCCCAAACACTGGGAAATGTTAAAAAGGTGATCACTTTTCTGGCGCGGGCCCCCTTCAAAATGATTCATCAGGGGGTTGCCAGAAGGGGGATGTGCCCTCTTCTGTTTTGTGGGGTTTGAAGGGGCGACAGTCCCCCTCATCGCCAAGAGAATATTTGACATATGACAGGCTAAAAATAGCCTCAGGTCGATCCTAAGGTAACGTGTAACCAACGCTGAAAAAAAGCCTTTTACTCTATAAATAGCAATATCTAAAAGGTTTACCCTAGCTATGACTTTTAAAGTGTATATATGTTTTCTGCCATGGATACAATCAAACCAAGTCTGATTTTTCACCAAGTCTTGAGTTTCGTTGTTTCATTACTTCCACGGACTTTGTGATTTATTTGTATATTTCGCCATGTGGAACACATATTTACTATTTATTATATTTCGTATTCAACAAAGTCGGAATATCTTGTTTTTTCCGTATTTCTTTAATATTGTATTATGATTTTATGATTCAGGCATGTTTTATGTTTAACAATATATTTACATTCATTTCATATCATGTTAAATTTCTGCCATTGGTTAATTATATTTTTTTCAGCATCCTGGAATGCAACAAGGGCATTGTTGGGATTAGAATAATATACAGTGATCCTGAGACACCGGAGCTGATGCTAAAAATTGATACTGTAAAGAACAGAAAGGTACGGTAGTAGAATAAAGTTATATTTTGTTTTGTGCGTCTCTCTCTCTCTCTCTCTCTCCCCCCCCTCTCTCTCTCTCTTACCCCCCTCCCTCTCTCTCTCTCTCTCCTCCCTCCCCCCTCCCTCTCTCTCTCTCTCTCTCTCTCTCCCTCTCCCTCTCTCCTCTCTCTCTCTCTCTCTCTCTCTCTCTCTCTCTCTCTCTTGTTCGTAACACATGACATTCTTTTGTAACTAGTAGAATATCGTTGCTAAGATGGATGATGCTAAAATACCATTTCTAGATGTCATTATGTAGAGGGGAGTTCAAATATGAATGCAACTAGGCCAATATCTCGTTTTTATCAATTTTTTGCACGAACCATAAACATGTTTCGCACAGATGGTTGTGTTAGCTCTCAATTGATTTCTCTATTTCAAGATCCGCTGTTTTCTTGGTATACATGCGAATTATTTGAAAAAGTAAGGAATTTGATTGCTACTGATGTAAGACTAACAACAAGCTATATAGCTAAATGCTGTGGTATCTCTGTAGGAGCCGCCCATTCATTTTACAAACGTTATTCAAAAATGAGATTGCTATATGCCAGATGGATACCCCATCTCCTTACAAAAGGACAAAACCTTGGTCGGGTAAGAATCTCCAAGCATTTGTTGTAACAGTTCCCTAAATACAACAATCGATCTTTCACAAATGTCATAACTGGCAATGAGACGTTGGCTCATATGAGGCCAAAAGAAAATAGGGACAACCAAAGGAAGTCAAAGACCTTGTATAGCCAAACCCACCATGAGCGTCAAAAAGGTCATATATGTAATTGTCTTTACTTATCATTGTCCTGTTATTTAAATTGCCGCACCAAATGGTAAATCTGTAAATGCAAAGTTTTACAAAGGCAAGGTCCTTCATAAATTAAAGATTTTTTCCAAACCCGTCGACTAGCAACTGGTCTCTGTGGTGTCAGGTTGTTGCATGACAATGCTTTGTCACACAAAGCGGTCATTGTACGAATATATCTGAAACATGAAAATGTTATGGAGCTTCCTCGCTCTCCATATTCACCAGATCATGCACATGTGACCCCTTTTTTCCTATTTTCGAGGCTAAAAATACCTTGGTGTAGAAAATATCAAGCGTGAAAAAATCTCGGTTCGGCTATTTTTCAGTGTCTGAACAGTATGCCTCGAAAAGATTAAGAAAACGCATTTAAAAGTTAGATTTAAAGACCAAAACTTTGTATATCACATGGTGATAAGTATTTTGAAGGATTGAGATATTTTTTGGCACTGTTTGTTAAGTACATCTGAAAATTGATCAAGTTGCACTCATAATTGAACACCCATCGTATAAAGTATTTCAGAGATAATGGAGGACTTTTTACTCTTTTCTTCACGTTCTTTCCAGATGTTTGTATACTAGTATTCAAGATGTATGAACCATTTAGAATAACGCTTAATGTTCGACCGACGATTTTTTAATGAGTGATATGAAAGTATAAAGTGTATGTTGAACTCATTTGTATTTCCTTTGAGATGAGAAAGATATTTGCAGACATTTGCATTTTGCTTGTTTGCTGACTTGTAAGATTTATAATCACACAAATCAGTGTCATACGGAGACAATCTAGCTTAACTGATTGAGGAAGATCCTGGTGTCCCTTTGGGCATTATTCAAGGCATGAGCGGGTACTAGAACTATTGACCTTTCGCAAAGTAGCTGGGTGACTCCCTCGCATGAAAGAATACAAAGTTGGTATTCAAATCAGCAGTGTTGAGGGGCGAGTGATTTTAAGTATTTTCAAAATCTGGTTGACAGAAGTTAAAGATGACATTCCGATTCAAAAATAAATTAAAAAAATACAGTACATCTAATTGTTTGTCGGTGGTATACCCTAAACATATGGTTTGAATAGTTGAAAGTGTGTAGGACACTAGAAATAGAAACTATGTTTGAAATAATTCTGGCGGTGCAAATAGTTTCTTTTGGCCATTACATATTTTTCTCTGTTTAAATGAAGATATGGTTGGAGATGCTTAAAGAGGCCCATGCAGAAAGCCAGCCGTTATCTGCGTACGTATTTCTTATATCGCAACATCTAGTAAATAAATTTTAGTATTTATATTTTAAAATTAAACGTTATCCTACTTGTTCGGATATGACAAATCTCGTTTTTAAGTTGATCTCCGTGTTCGAAGAACCCTTTAACTGGTTTAGTTAATATATATATTAATATGCAAAACAATATTTTCTTGTAACCTTAGTGACACTATCGTCTTTGTATTTTGAAGCAGAATTATGGCGTTAATGTTTAAAAAATTCATAATAAAGATGACATTTATAGATTGATGTATATGCAGGAATACAAATTTTCTTGAACTTTTCTTTAGAGCTATTTTAACACTATTATATAGGAAAATGTCTTTTTTCATTGTTAAGAAAATTAATTTATATCTTTACACAGCGACAGTGGCTTTGGAAGCGGCGGTTCTATCCCGAACCGTAAGTTGCGGATTGCACAATAATTATAATAAACGTTAATATAAGATTCATTTAGTTTTTCCCGGTATGCTTTTCATAATTGTACTAGACCAAATGATCAGTCAAACGTGTACATCATTAATTCAACCAATAATGAAAGTTACAGACAGTACATAAGATACATAGCTTCATAAACTTTAGGAAAATATCTATAAATTGTATATGCAATATAATAAATGGTTGTTTTTAACAAATTGTTTTTACTTTTTTCAGGGAACTCAAGACATTTTGATAATCAAAGAGATAGTGAATACATGTATTCTAGAGTAAGAGAAATTAATGATGACATTAAAGGTAAAGATACACATTTCGTTATTTGATTGCAAATTACAATTTTAAAATAAAATATGGAAAAAATGAAGAATTAAAAATGTTGACATTTTTAGTTGTTGTTTATAGATTTTTAATATAAAATATATTCCAATGCAAGATAATGATTATTCTTAGTGGTTTCCCATAATGAACATTGCATTCAGTGTCAAATAGTTAGGATCAATTACTTAATTAAAACGTCTTTCAGGTACCTTGAAGGAATCAGAACGTGCATGTACAATGGAATTAGATGACTGTAAGTATTATTTTGTTATGAGAACTAACAAAGTTAATTAGTTTTCAAAACATAACACGTTTAGAAAAAACATAGAATTTATGTATCTTTAATTTACCATTAAACTGCATCAGTCCTTTTGCGTAACGGTATACGCGTTGTCGAATCGCTCTGCTGTGATGTATATATGTTGAATGTAACGACAATAAAATGTAAAAGTTGATCAGAGCTCAGTACATTTTTTGTTTACTGTCTGCTAAATATGAATGTTTTTGCTGGCAAAAATTTGTAATTCGTATAAATTGTTTTATAGTAAAAAATAAAATAGTATATGAACTTTCAGGACAACTGTCGTATTTATCACGGAGTGTACTCAATCGGCAACAAAATTATGCACACAGCTATGCTTCCATAGTTAATGCAACAGTATAATAATTTTTAGTGGACTTATTATCAATTTCTCCTGCTAAACACCTATATATTTTCCATGACAATTGCTATGATTGCTCATTCCTCATACCTTAATTTCAGTAATTTGAAGTATTGTGCAGAACAAACTGTCATGAAAGGAACACAGATTTTTCATAATATAATGATGTCATATGTGACAGTTCGGATCAGAAAATCCGTTCAGAGGGTACCAATCGGGCTTGCCATGTTGCCGCCAAGGGGATGGGGTGTACGCGTCCCCAAGATGAGGTGACAGTCACGTGCTATACAACAGCGTCCTTTTAGCGCATTTTTAATTATTTAAGCGCATTCTATCACTGAACTGCGAACAAATGACGTCATTTTGGTGCATTTAAGAATGACAATTTGTGCTAAGGTCCGTTATGATATCAAATCATACGCAATTGTACGGGAAAAGTTTCGGGTGAAATGGCCTTAATTTCCATGAAAAAAATATTTAATTTACCGTTTAAATATGATAGAATATGATAGAATATAGAATGCGTATGCGGTTCAGGTAGGAACCCTTTGGGTAGGATCCCTGTGGGTACCAGCCTATGGGTAACACGACAAGCCAGTTTACCGCCAAATTGGCGGGTACTCTCAAAACGGACATTTAATCCGAACCGCAACATATGGTCTCCAGTTGAGCCGAAGCATTTCAAGAAAAACGAACTAAGATTGTAATGTGAATTGGTCTATAATGAAAGGTCCGTAATACAACAAAAACGTATGATGATAGTTTTAAGTATCAAACGTTGCCACACAACACGAAAGAAATAAATTTGGAAGTTGTTTGGGGGTGTGAGATAAATAATCTAATACTACACAAAAGCACATATATAGTAGATACTCTATAAATAATAAGATGTTCTAGAACAAAAAAATATCATTAATCATTTAAATGTTCATACAAAATCACTCAGAACTTTATTTTTGAAAAAAAAAGTTTTTTAGACTATCCAAATGACCATTTCTATATAACATTTTAGCAATATTCGAAATATTTATGAAAAACGAGTCCATTGTCAACATTTACTCTGCCGTATATTAACCTCTTAGTGATTTACCACATCATATATGAATAGATTGTTTGTGGCGCATCAAATATGTAACTATATAAAGTAAAGTTATTAGAAATATACTATTTTTCTTATTTGCTTTTGAAGGTTTTACCTTAGTAAATGTGTGTTGCTAAAAATATTGTAGGCAATTGAATATTTAGTTTGTACAATTGTTCTAGGTATTCGTCCTTTTAAATCAATTCTAACGTTAATCTTTAAAATTTTAATCCTAGGTAAAGATGATGTCTTGCGAAGACCTGCAGTAAAATCTGGTACTGAGAAGTTAACGAAGAGTGAAAATCGAAACAAAGTGATAATTGATAACGGCAAAGGTAGTTTGTAAATATGTTCTTTTCTCTAGCGCGAAAATATATTATATATTGAAACAAAAGTAACAGCTTACATAGAACGTGACTTTAACAATACTTAAACACCGAAATAATAATGTGATGAAAATGATCGGCCATTTAGTAATATATGTTTTTTGTTCTGTTGGTACAAATATTGTTTGTGCATGGCACTGACAAAAATTGCTGGACAGAATCAATATTAAATTCATTTACTCTGCTATTGGTACAGATATGTCTGATCTATTACCGAATGAAACTTGTTTGAAATACGATGATGGCCTACGGGTATTTGGTACGAAAGGTAAGAATTCATATATTGAACACAAACTTAAAGGGACTTGCAAAAAAGCATGGGAGACGGTGTAATTATGATAATTTTCCAATAACCATATTGATTCACATGCTGGAAACATTCCTTACATAATATTTGTTTTTGCCTTATGTGTAACATTTTACTAAAAGTCGTGACTAGCAAACAATTGTCAATTACCCATTTCCAGAACATATTGTAAAGAAAAACCGTTGCTTTATGTACCAAGATGAATTATTCTTATCAGAAATTAACAATACTATAAAACATAATGTACCTTGAGAACTACAAAATAATTAAATGCAACATATTTATATATAAACGATTCATTTACAGAAATGATTTTGTCGTTATTTATTGTTGGAAAATGATAAAACTTTCTCTCACTAAGGAAGCTTATGCCAGTTATTTTATTTACAAATGTTATGTCTGAGTTCAGATTACAAATTGAGTGCAAAGGTTGAAGACACAGCTGCCACTGATGAATGTAACCGAAATACAGATATGACATGCGTGAAAGAAAATCTCCAATCTCCAATTCAAGAAACCAAATGTAAGATACACGTGCTTGTCTCTTGATTCATACATTAATATGCATGAAAATGATGTTTTCGATGGCCGCTTTTAAAGTGATTTATAGAAAACAACCAACATATAAAAATTAGCACCGAATTAGTAATTCATATTATGTACATTAAAATAACAACAAAAAATACAAATAAAGAATTGAAAAAGTTATGTAAAAACTTGTGATTTATTAATCCTAAATAGGTGTTAAATTAACTAATCGAATTCAAAGAATTGTATGTACTAAGGTTATCATCAGAGAATTTTATTCATGTCACACAAATACTCATTATTAGAGAATAATGTTCATTTTATAGCTTTTGTGTAATATTGCTGCAGGCAACAGATACTTTGAAACACAGCTGGCAACCACAGTACATAGCAAACATAAAATCAATAATGCTAAGACAATTGTTCACGCACAATCTGGTCAGTTGACAAGCACCTTTAGATCTGATGACTACGAAAATTTTGAACTGGGTAAGACAAATGCTGCTTTGTTGAAGAAGTTTGTTCTTCCTACCAAACTTGTTTTCTCTGATTTTTTTTACATTTAAAGGTATATTATATATCTCATTGCTTGCATATCTTTAACCGAAATTTGGGTTTTCATTTATTTTGCTATGTTTAAACAGTTTTTCAAACGGGTTCTGCGTTTTTCTGATTGATCTGCGTTTTTATGACTTCCGAGGGATAACTTTGTTCCCAGATTTCTTAGTCTTTTGCTGTGTAGGAAATTTCTGAGGATTTCATGCTAAATAATAATTATAAGGACAATATTTTACAGCTCTTAACATAATTGTAATACTTAACATTGAATCTATTAAAATTAAAATTGTTTAGTCTACAATAGGCGCATTTTCCACATGTATATTCTGATAAAATATATCCTGAGAAAAAATGTTAATAAAGTTATAAGTGATTTTGATTTTCATTTAAAAATCCAAAATGCATTTTTCATGTTTTTTCTTAATTGTCAAACTGCTTTGAGGAAAAGAGCATGTTTCGAGGTAAATCATTTTTGTACTTTTTTAATTTGCATCATGACACTTCACATATTATCAAAATTCTTTCATGTCAATTCTACAAAAAGATACAATGTACATTATTTTCATTAACATTTGTATCTATAATCAATACAAGCTCAAAAAGACCAAGAACTTCAGTTAAAAACGGACCTTTATCAACCTCTTTCAACATCTTTCTAGGTCAAGATGAGAATACCCGTCCGAAAGTTATTGATGATAATGCAGATTTTGAGACATTGACAGACAGCGATTCATCAACATTCATGAGTGTTGCAGGTTGCTCAGACTCTTTTGTTTCAGTAGGACAAAGTAAACTTGGTTTAGATTCACATTTTATAGGAACATCAGAAGGCGACAAAAAGTCAGATCATGTTATGATAAAAGAGAATACATTCAAATCATTACAGGTGGACAAAGCTCCTGAAAATGAAGGACATATACCAAAACATTTATCTTTACCTCATAATCAGGAATATTACCCGCCAGGTCCTTTATCTGAATCTAGCAAAGAAGATCCATCGTTTTCTGTACAAGGAATCAAATATCAAGGTGCAGAATCATCGAATGATATTTGTAGCAAACACAACGAGGAAAATACGTCAGTGTTACCCACGGACAGTGGTGATGTAAATTTCCGTCAGGTGTCTACGTCTCATTCACAACAATCAAAATCGGCAGTTACTACGGAAACAGAAAATACATCTCAAAGCTTAGAGCCCGGGTCAAATATAGAGGACGGGAATAATGCCTATGAGAACATCACGTTTTTCGAAAACAAAGAGCAAAATAAAGTATCTGTAAATGAAAACGAAATGAAAAGAGGCAGTAACAGCAGTACAAACAGTACATCTAGTTCAGGTAGTTGTACGGATAGTGTCACGTATGAAAGCCCAGACGAGAGTGCACATTACGAAAATATGATTGTAAGTCAGATAAAATATATGTGACACAATATGAAATATTTTCACATGGCCCTGCTTGGGAATATTTATTATTATATTTCTTACACTTAATTTATTTTGTTATCTTACATTTTCCTAATATTTAATTATTTGACAACGGTAAAATCCTTAATTTTTTTTAAACTTAAGGTGGAGATGATATTTTGAAATAAAAAAAGATAAAAAAAAAATCTGTCATATTACAGTTCTTACGAGAAGAAGAATATTTTTGCGAAAGAGAGGAAGACGTTAAAAGGTATTCTTAATTGCCGATATTCTTTCATTAAATATGTAGTAATTAATAATGCTAGGATAGGTTATAATTATTTTATTGATCGAAACTTTAAATTTGCGATTATAAATTGTCACTACAAATTTATCGTTAAGAGAGATTCCTCTTAAGCATGATATAATAGCGGGCTCTGCTAATTGAGAGGAAGTTGAAGGTCAGCTGTCATTCTTCAACAGCGATACATTAGAGTCAATATAACAGCTACCGCATACACAATATTTTACTATGTTGTGCTATTCAGATAGCTCAGATTGAATACATTAATTTCCTATAATCGTGACTCCTTGCTTAATTGCAGAAATCTTCAAGACAATCCACCTGGAACATTTCTAATTTGCAAGTCCGGATCAAAGCAGGTATGCCTTAAGTTAAGATTATAAATATTTGCACAGTTTATTTTTTACTTTTTCTATTTTGTTCGTATTAGAATCGTTTTCATTTTATTTATATCTTAGACAGATCTATATTTTATCTTAAACATTTTCTAATATAAACTGTAGGTTAATGAACATTTTGTCAGTCAAAAACTTTTAAAATATAGGGTGAATTTAGCTCAACTTAACAATGAAACACATTGCTGTATAACAGGGATGATGTTAACAAAAGTATTTCCTTAAACGATTTGGCCATAATTACAAATAAAATCATCAATTTGCCTTGCAGGATATAGCCTTAAATATTTAATAAGTCTAAGCATATAGAATTTGTATGATTTATAACTTTTCCAAAATTAAATTATTAAAAATTCTGCAGAAATTGTGGTTCGTCACCGATAATGGACGCAGGTTTTTCAAGATTCATCGACATGTAAGTCTTTTCTAGTGTTGATCTAATTTCTAATTTTAATAACTATTACAAAGAAATTCAGCATGAAGAGTTTTTGGTTTGTTAATTATTTCATTCATGTATTTGTCAGAATTCACTTGTCTGTTGATATACATCTGTATATTTTAACATGTTTACACCGAAATTTAAGTATCATGATACAATTTGCCTTTAAAATTACATTATATTTTCATTAATTGCATAAACATTATGCATTAGGACTGTGCGTTTCATAGAAAGCCCTATGTGCAGCCTAAGTCTTTAAACATAAAACCAACTTTAGAACTAACTTAAGCCAGTTTCCATAAACATTTTTATCTTTATTTAAATACTGTATGCTATAAATAAATGTATTCTTCTGAGAAAAGGTATGAAATATAATGACATTCCCTTTAATTCGAACTGTGTAAATGTTCATCAGGATTGCTAACAGAAATTAAAAGAGTCATAATTTAGGAGTCATTATATCATTTTCTTTTGTCCAAAATTGTTAGATTGGTTTCGCACTTGGGACTTTATGTGGAATGCAGCCAGTGTTATCTAAAAAAAAACATTTGATACAAATGTTTACATTGATAAACTTAAAAGAATCTCCATAAAAATGTTTATACCTACTCTTTATAACATTGTAGATGATTTTAAGTCTATAGCAGATTATTCATTACATAGCATAAATTGCAATAACATTTACATTCAGCTTTTAAAACAATATTATTATTATTATTTATCATCAGTTTAGTAATTGATTTAAAATAAACGACATTAGAAAGCACAAAAGATTTGTATTGGCTATTTGGTTAAAGGCACATTATGCCTCAGAATTATATTATTTTATTCTTTATTATATGTCAAACATGTGTTTAATAGTGTTTGAATAATGGATTTAAGGTATGTAGATGTTTAACAACTGACAAAAGCAGCTCAAAATGTGAGCAATGTGTAATAAAGGTAGCAAAATGTAAACAAAGTAGTATTTTGACTTCCATACAAAATACTAATTCACTATAATAATGATACCGTTTACCAACAGAGCTGCAAAATATAGTCTATGTATATGAAAACTGTTACAAAATACCAAAACTGAAAAGTGATTGCAAAATAGAATTGGTAGCATTTGTGAGGCATAATGGGCCTTTAAGGTTTATTGCCCCACCTTTGGTCATAAAGTGACATGGTGATAATTCTTCTTATTTTTTTTTCAGGGGGAAAAACTGTCGCTTTTCAAATATCCCAAGCCAGAAAACATCTTTCTTAGTCTGAATCAATTACTTATGTTTTACCATCTAAACGATTTGCCCTCTAACAGTTATGAATTGAAACTGGAACGAGCATACAAGTCTGCCAAAAAGATGTAATGAAATATATAAAGAAACTGCAAAGAGTTAACCTATCTGACAATTATACTTAATACATGTAAACACAAACCATATAGGACTAACATAGATCTGACACCAGTTGAAAGAGATGTGTTACCTAAAGTTACAGATACTAGAGGAAAAACTAAAAAATTAGTACAAAAGTGACCAAGATATGATATATTAAAATATATATTGTTAATAAACAGAAATTAAAAAAATTACAATTTACCGAAAAGTTAGATAATACACGTATAAGATCTAAAGAAAAAGATAGATTAATAAATTTCGAAACGGAAATAAATGCACAGTAAAACTACCAAAATTTTATAGCTTTAGCTACAGCGCTAAGTGCAATCATAGATTGATACAACGATCAGTGTAAAACTGTATGCAGTGTATGAAGTAAAAACGACAGATTGAAGATAATGATGATGGTTGTTGTTTATATCGAGAGGTATATAAACTGAAGATACATTTGCAAAAAAGAGATAGATTGAAAATCTATTGATTATTTTTTTAATGTTTTAACCTTATTATTGTTGAATTATGTGTAATTTACTATATCGTTAAAGTTACTTGCATTGTTTTTATAGAAATATATTTATTTATGTGATTGATGTTTCTTGCGACAATTTCATTACAACCAACCCAAGCATTAAAAAAAACCCAAAGCATTAGTTACCAGCCTTTATATTTAAAGATATAACAGAGGGTAACGAAAGAAAAGAAAACCTGGAATCGTAAAGCATGTATTATTATTTGATTCAGATGCTAATTATATATATAGTTACATGCTGTAAAGCTTTTGGAAGGTCATATTAAAGGTCCGTAAATTACTTACCATCTAATCGCCATTTCGTAAAAAAATGAAAGGCTTTCTCAAACAATGATGTCTACCTGATGTGTTATTAAATCATTAATTCAGAATTATAAAACCATTTTTTTTCCATTGTTGGTAAAATGTGAACACATTATTTTATAAGACTGACAACTTCGTCTCCATTTTCAACATATTGTTCACAATGCTGAATATTCAAGTATTAATTTTTAAACGGTTGATTTAAAAATCTGTCAAATTGAATGCAGGGTGAAGTCATTTTCTCTATCAAATTGCTAGTAGCGTGTTGTGTTGGTATACAAACGATCGCATGTTTGTCGGTATTAATTTCATTACTTATAAGAATTATTTTCCCCTTACTTTTCAAATGTAAATCTTTCTCCGCGGCTCTCTGATCGCTTCCCTTTACACCTTATTCCTGTGTTGTCCTTTTAATAAAGTATACTTCTTGAAGGTCTTTTCTGGCTTTCTAGTGATGCTCCTTTCCATATACAGATCATGAATATTTTACGAATACATATATTTTTCTGAACCAATTTAGATATATTGAAAAAAAGAAAGAAATAAAAAAAAAAGAACATAAAATCTAAAAAGAAAGAATCCCTCAAATCAACAAGGCAACAAAGCGCACCCCTTGACACAATCCAGCCATACTAACAGAGTACTCAGAAAGCATTGAACCATAAACAGGAGAGGGCAGGACGGTGGAGAAAGGAGGGAACGGACGTTCCACGAACTGTTACAATAAAGCATTTAATAAGGGAAATGATAAAATTTAAGAGGGCTGATACGGGAATTAACGGGAAAAGAGTGGGATGAAAGGAAAAAGGTGGAAAGGAGGGGCGGGAGGGGTTGCGGGGAATGCAATATGAAGGAGAATATAACAAATACTTACCGCTTACGACAATTAAGGACAATAGAGAATGTGTCAATACTTACGTGACATGCGTCACACGGTGGGGGATATGAATTCAACGCACTTACTTTTGTTTTTGATTAATGCCCACTTAAAGTCAGAAATCTACACAGTTCGCTAATGAAAGACTTAACTGATGCAAAAATGGAAATGGTGCTTTAAATATTTCTTCATCATGGAATAAGATTGAAGATCAACAATGTAAAGCAAAGTTAAACAAGTAACGGACATGTCACTGACAATATAAGAACTACTCAGTTAGTAATTTCATGTCATAATAAACTTTTAAGTCAGATTCATAATATCTTACTTTATTCTTCCCCATCCGATTTATATTCATAAGTGTTTGTTTTTCCTTTTTTCAAGAAAGGATGATCTTTAATGTTGTCTATATTTATTATATATATATTTGAAATTATAAAATTTATATTACTTCATTACACATTGATAAGAATGGTTAATACAAAAGTAATTTATTCATCTTAATATCACTTCCTTGACGTTGAACCGTAAAGTAAACATTCAAGTATGCATTTAAGATGTATTGTAAATCACCTACCGAATTGTATACATTTCAAAAGGAAACCCAACATATTATCGAGCTATAACAAGTCGCACATTTTTAAACTGAATTGGACTATTTTCGATTTGACGACGCAAGAAAGGTAAATACATATTTATTGTTAAGACGCATAAGATTTTTCATTCATTTTTATTTTTAGATTTTTTTGACTTATAGATAGTCATTTGATTCGATATAATTATTCAATTATTACAGTTTTTATTATCGTTCAACTTAAATTACTCTTAAATTACCGATGTATACTTGTACAGATTTCTGTTTAATATCAATATCATTTTATGTTGTATGCCAAAATTGTGTCAGCTGTATATTCACGTTGTTTCCAATGTCAACAATATTGTTTACATAGTAAGTCAATACTGTTTCCGGTGTATAAGTATTGCTCCTATCATATGTCAATATTGTCTAATAGCAGGGTGTCCGTAGCCGAGTGGTTATGGCCGTATGGCCACTTGCCCCTCCCCGCTGTGGGTTTAAATCCCGACATGGGGTTTGGATTCTTTCATGTGAGGAAGCTATCCAGCTAACTTACTGAACGTCAGAAATTCTACCCAGGTGCCCGTTTGTGCATGAAATAATGCACTGATAGGCACCTGATGTCTTTATTCACCTGCAAAACTGGAAAGTCGCCATATGTCTTATACTGTATTGGTCCGACGTAAAACCTTACCAAAAAATGAATATGGTCTATAAGACGATTTTTCATTAAGTTGTGTATAGGCAAATGTTTGACTGGCTCAGTTTTAAAAAAAATCGACGTTTGAAAGTGAGTTGGTCTATAACTGAATGTTGTAAATGTTATTATACAATAGATAATGATGTTGATAGTATATAATATCAGACATAACAAAAAGCCAGGATAGAATTATTAGCACGCATGAGATACATGATCCGATATTACTCGTATATATTGTCACCTTAGTGCAGAAATGGGTTGACTCCTAATACAATCTAGTAGAAGTTATCCCGTTACTGCACTTAAGTGACAGTATTTTAATATAGCAGACAAAAATTGTTCTAGAACAAAATATAATATTTATTGTTCGTTCTAAATCACTTTGAAATCAATCAACAATTATTTCAAGAAATAATTTACTAGTATAAGCTTATCCAAATGAATCAATTCATTGTTCTTTTTAATCAAATTTTGAAATAAAATTGTGTCAATGTTTGCCTAATCAACGTTAACTGAGGTTATTGTGAAAACAATATTTATCGAGCACAATGTTGTCAATTAACCTCATCTAATAAACGATATATAATGATCATTTATTTTCACTGAATCGGAATTTCTTGTAGTGTGTAAATTGATATTAGGCTTAAATAAAAAAAAAACATAGCTTTAATTTCGTCAGGTAGTTTTTTAAATTTCGTTATAATACAAATACGCGAGACCGCCTCCGTGGTCGAGGGGTTAGAGTCGATGACTTCTAATCCAGTTACCTCTCTGGCGTGGGTTCGATCCCCGGGAGATGCTTTGGTAGTTTAGCGCGGAGAAAGGTAGTCTAGTCACGCCCGTTTAACTCACAACGAGTGAAAAATGTCCATCGGTAAAAATGTTGTGAGCAACTTCCGTTCCTCGTTGTGAGCACCCATCTTTGACGTGTGACACGATAAACAAGGTGAGTTTTTCATAATTTTTGAAGATTACAGACATTTATGTAAAAATATCGAAATGCAGTTAGCTAGCGATGTGTTTTCCGAGTATGCACATGTAAAGATATTGCCTTTTGGTGGACAATTTGATGGAAATACCGTGCGACGCAGTCACTCGGGGTAGCTGGAAAACTGGAGACAACTTCTCTTTGGACCTAATTTAACATTGAAAACGTCGATTCTGGTGACGTTTTGTGCATTCTAACCTAAAACAGATGCCCACAAGTCTTCAGCGTAAATTATTATCTGAAAGTCTTCATAGAAACGAAGATATACCCTTTTTTGCTTTAATCCTCGTTGTGAGCACCATAGCCTCGTTGTGAGCAAGACAAGCGCAGTGCGTGTATGGTTTTAATATGTAATTCAGATGGTGAAAATATAATTTTCAATCTACCACAGCAATTTAAACGTTTTTGCACAGCAGCATTTCTTTGCAAGACGTTGTGCATACCCCAAAGGGAGGCATATTAGTTTTGAACTGTCCGTCTGTCAGTCCGTAAATCTGTCCGAAAACTTTAACAATGGCCATAACTTCCTTATAAGTAGACGGATTTGATTCATATTTGAACACAACATCCCTTAGCACCTTCCTACGGACCTGTATTTTTACCTTGACCCCTGAAAGCCTTTACCTTGAAGGTCAAATTGTCCAAAAACATTTAAGATTGGCCATAATGTCCTGGCATAATGTTTAGGCACAACACATCTTTGGACAAGGCCTTTCAACTATCCTATATTCTTTTGACCTTGACCCCTGAATGACCTTCACCTTGAAGGTCAAATTGTCCAAAAACTTAAAAATTGGTCATAACTTCCTTATTAGTATACGGACTCTACTCATATTTTGAAACAACACCCCTTTAGGCAAGACCTTCAAACTGATCTGTATTTTTTTACCTTGTACCGTGAATGACCTTCTAGAACATCCAAAAACTTTAACATTGGTCATAACTTCTTTATAAGTAAGTGGAATTAATTCATATTTGGTCACAATGCCCCTTTGGACAAGACCTTCCAACTGACCTATATTTATTTCACATTGACCTTGAATTACCTTCACATTAAAGATCTAATTGTCCAAAAACAAATAATCTATCTGGTCCATAAATCAAAGGACAAAGCACCACTTCAGGGGCATTGTCAACTTACCGTGATAGTTCTTGTTTTACATAACTTGGTCAGTCTTCAGCTCAGGATAAACACATGTATGTGTGTATCACACAGATTGTGAAATTGTTCAAATATTCATAAACACCCCGTGATGTTCATTCGTGCCACACTAGAGTATACGAAATAAAATACCTGATTTACATCCACTGATTAGTTCTTCTGTGAATCTGATGACTTGTGAATATGAAGAATAATTTTCAAAAAAAGAAAAAGAAGAACTATTGCAAAGAAAAACTATTGTACAAAAACGTTTTGATTGCTTTTGGTAGATTGAAAATTGTATTCTTGCCATTTGAATTACATATTTAAACCAGACAAGCACTGCGCTTGTCTTGCTCACAACGAGGTTATGGTGCTCACAACGAGGATTAAAGCAAACAAAAGTATATCTTCGTTTCTACGAAGACTTTCAGATAATAATTTACGCTGAAGACTTGTGGGTATCTGTTTTATGTTAGAATGCACAAAACGTCACCAGAATCGACGTTTTCAATGTTAAGTTAGGTCCAAAGAGAAGTTGTCTCCAGTTTTCCAGCTACCCCGAGTGACTGCGTCGCACGGTATTTCCATCAAATTGTCCACCAACAGGTAATATCTTTACATGTGCATACTCGGAA